CTAAGTAAATACTATTCTGCTGGACAGGCAACAGCAAAATTTGTGGGTATGTCTGCACAATAGAATATTCTCCAGTGGTTTGATCACATGTAATCCTGAGCAGATTTGAAGCTGTACATTTTCCATGGTAGGGAGAATAGCTTTTGACAAAATGGGATGTGATGGAAGGTGTCTGGAACAAACATTACAAAAAAAAAAGTTGATGGTCTCAGAGGAAAAGAGAGCAGACTCTTTCAGACAGGCAGACCTGATGAAGCACGTTGCTTTTTCAGACTCATAAAATGTGGTAACTGGCCAGTTGGCTACTTCATCTATGGAGAAGGAGCCAAACTGCTTCTTTCTCTTTCAATGAAGTTGCAGATTTGAGTCTGCTTCCCTCACCCTTCCGCCAGATTTACTTATCATGGATCTGAAGGAAGTGATTGCAGGTTTAATCCCTCATGCGTGCCGGTAAATCAGTAGGTTTACACACTATTGACTGATGGAGGGACAAAACCTGTGTGTTATTTCTTTTAACTATATGATTTTAAAAATAACTTGAGTGCTATTAAAGGTGTTATTAGCGATACAGTGAGGGGTTCTACTCAACTTTCTGGTTCCTCTTTTATCAGAGTAGGTGTAATAAATATAATGTCTGTTTTGGCACACGTTAGTGACTGAATGTAAGAGCACCACAGATAAAATCTGACCTACAATGTACAAGCGGTTATAAAATCCTGGTTCTAAAATAACAGCCCTTGATCAAAGTAGCATGGGTGCAGGGCACTCTGATTAGAGGCTGGAGCATTAATTACAGCTAAGAGACAAGCACATCTCTTATCTACAATTAAATAAAAAGTAATAAAGAAGTAAAATTTTGTCTTAAGGCCAGTGCCTCCTGAATGACCACTGACAAAGCACAAAGGTTCCTAGCACCATGCTGGGACATTTTGGTGTCTCAGCATGCATTTGTATTGCTCTACACATGACTGCTGCTTAGTAGGGAAATGGAGCAAGAACACACAGAGGGCTGCCTAAAGAGAATAGGACAGCCACTTTTTGCACTGCCTGCAGCAAGGCCAACGAGGCCTAGCTGTCCTGGGGGAGATGCCAGACCTTACACAGCACTGTGTTTTCTTGTGAGGGATTTTATCTCCATGAGAAGCTGAAAAGAATAAAACATCTTGGCCTGGGTAGAAAGGAGAGATCTAAGCTTATGCCCTCTCTGTTGGAAAGACAGATGAGCAGTGTTGGTTTGAGCCACCCTGTTTTAATACGGTCTGTCAGGAACAATGGAATAAGATACAACACTTAAGGCAGTGTTTCTAAAAAGTGGCAAAACCACAACATGACGAGCCTGTGCAACTCATCAGCACAGTTTACCACAGCTCATTTACTGCAGGATTTGGAAGGATTAGATATGTGAAATGCTAGAGATGATAGCTTCTCCATCAGAATGAAAATAAACATATGGTATAAAGTTTCCAGGCTCGCAGATGTCCCAGGCCTTCAGTTCAGAGGGTTCAATAGAGGCAGGATTTTCCAAAAACAGTTCCCTAGGTTCCCCTTTGCATTTTTATCTGAAGCACCTTAAACCAGAATCTGTCAGAACTAATATACCACATCAGATGAAATGAACTAGTGCAATAAAAACATTTGTATTTAATGTAAACCCATCTCCAGCCCTTGATAATCAAGTCCTGATCCAAAAAAAACCTCCTCCAGTCCCCAAAGGATAAGATTAATCCTTGAGATGGAGGAGTCTTTCACAAGATTATTTGTACAGATGTGTACAAGTCCCATGCAAAAGAAATAAGAAATATATAGGAGTTCAGCATTAATATAAGTTAGCCTATTCAGGCAAAGCCAGCTGAAGTAGCTGCAAGCTTGCTCATTTCCCTTTGTTACCCTCTCCTCCCAAGTCTGCAGTGATACCGTTTCCCAATCTGAAAGGCTCTGCTCTTCATTCCATGTTCCTTCTGTTTTCATCACCTATCAAAACATCCCTGGTGTCTGAGAAATGATGGAACTCAGTGATCAACATTTCCCTGCTTCGTGGAGTTTAGTTTATAGTTTGAGGAAACAACTGGGAGCTGTGCTCATGCAGTCTCGTAAGAGAGCAAGGAGAAAAGAGAGAGGAAATCTTGGGATCAGATCCACATCCCATTTTTAGGCTCTTTAACAAAGAGGAAAAACAAACAAACAAACAAACAAACAAAAAATCAGGCACTTTTAAATTTGTATTAAGGTAATGTGTCACTGTATTATAAATGTTCTGCTTATACACACATTAATGATAGCAGTCAAACAAGCTGAAAATGTCTAAAAATCACAGTGTTCGAAAAATCAGGTTTAATAGGGAAAACAGACTGCACTTTTAAAAATATATTTCTCTTTCAGATAACTACCCATTACTTGGTCAGAGCCTTAAGCTGAGCTTACTTGCTTTTCTGGGCAAGCCATGCCATGCAACCATAGCTCCAGCCCTATTGCAGCTCATAGCTGTGACAAGCCTGATGTTGCTGCCATCAGTCACTGCAGACTCATAGCATCTGGTTTGGAGCTTTTAGTCTCTTACCTTCCTCAAATCTGGCTCTATCAGGTTCAGATAGGGACAAGCAATGAATGTGTTGGAGGTTGTCAGCGCGCTATGTCTCATGCTCCTAACATGTCCCAAGTGAAAACTAGAAAACTAGCTGTTCTTGAAAGGCTTTTTGCTGCCCTGATCTTCATTACATTCTACTAAAAGCTCGGCAAGGACCCTGGTGGGGCTGAGCATGCTCCCATGGGCTTCCACAGTGAAAGCAGCAAAGCATTCTAACAAGCGTTTCGTTGTTTCCCTTAATTAAGCAGACAATATTGCATCATGACTGTTCTAATTATTTTAGCTTGTCAAATTGTGTCTTTCTGCCTCTCAGTCATCAGTCAGGTCTGCAGTAAATGAGGGCAAGCATGAGCAGCTTTGTGTTTTAAGTAATATTTAGGCAGACAGCTCCCCCTTTAATCTGAACAGAAGCCAGCTCAGTCCCATCCAATACAGTCAGCCTGGATGGGATGCTGAGAAGCAAAGTGAGCACACAGGGATACGCTCCTGTTACACCCAAATAACCTACCGCTAGCTGCAGCTCTGCGATTTAAAGACAGAGATGTTGATCCCACATGTCTCCAATAAGCCTTCATCAGCCTTTCTTCCATGGATGTGAAGATCATTGTCCTAGGAAGCCTCAGCATCCCATGGCATCTTTAAGTGAATCAGATGTCCCTGTCTCACCAGAGCAATGTCAGTGAAAAAGTGGGAGAAAAGTGTTGCCATGCATCACTGAGCACCTTTGGCCATCACTGCTTAGAGCTGCTCACTTGTTAAGCAAACTGTGGCAACAATAAGATGTTTTTTGGTCCAGTGATCAGTCAAATACATTCTGTGACCATTTGCCTTTTTTCCTTGCTTTGCCCAGCACGTATTTTACTTACCACATCAGCTTTTAGAAAATATGGCTTTTAAAAAACAACAAAACCAGCTCACTTTGAATTTCAGCAAAGATGAGTAATCAAAAATGCAGCACAAAATACAGAAATGTCTCTTGGATGTGCCAAGAGGTATATAAACATACACTAAACAGCCTGCTGATTCGTAGCCACATTGCAAAGCAACTGTCCATCGACAACTGGGAATACCACTAAGCTCCCCTAAAACATCACCTTTTGGACTGTAATACCTCTAATGGTAAATTGGTTCGAAAAGAAAGAAGACACATCCAAACCTCTCCTTCCTGCTCTGCTAGGTCATACGCTATTCATGCAGTTTCTAACAAGACAGAAGGCTAACCAGCTCTGCTCAACAAAAAAGCCTTCTTCCATTAGAAGAATGAATTTTATTAAACAGATGTTGCAAGAAAATCTTTACTAGGTGAGAAATTTTGAAATAATTTACATCTCAAGTACATTCAGTTCTTACTTTCTGAAGACTCTTATACTTCTCTTTCCCAGACACATAGCGAATGTTCTGCTTTTTTTCTAGCTTATTTTTGCATTCTAATTCCATATGTATGATATTTTTAAAGAAAAGAACACAGCACATTTTTGTTCAGATGCTGAAACACAGGTATTTGGGCTCAGCTAAACATGAGCCAGCAGTATGCCCAAGTAGCCAAGAAGGCCAGTGGCATCCTGGCTTGTGTAAGAAAGTGTAGCCAGCAGGAGCAGGGAAGTGATGGTTCCTGCACTCAGATCCAGTGAGGCCACACCTCAGTTCAGTTCAGTTTTGGGCCCCTCAATACAAGAAAGACATTGAGGCCTGGAGTGTGTCCAGGGAAGGATCTGGAACACAGATTTTATGTGGAATGGCTGAGAGAACTGGGATTGTTCAGTCTGGAGAAGAGAAAGCTCAAGGGAAGACCTTATTGCTCTCTACAATGACCTGAAAGGAGGTTGTGCTGAGGTGGGAGTCAGCTTCTTCTCTTGTGACTCGTAGTAGGACTACATGGAATAGCCTGAAGCTGCATGAGGGAAGGTTCAGGTTGGATGTTAGGAAACATTTCATCTTCAAAAGAGTGGTAAGGGATTGGAACAGGCTGCCAGGGAGGTGGCTGAGTCATAGTCTCTGGAGGAGTTCAAGATATGTTTAAATGTTGTACTTAGGGACATGGTTTAGTTTGGAAATATTGATAGTAGGTGGGCAGCTGGACTAAAATGTCTTTTCCAACCTTGATGATTGTATGTTTCTCAGTTTAAAGCTGAATTAGCAATGGGAACAATGCAATACACATTCTGCCTGATACAGTAGGTACCTGCACGTTTAGACCATTGTTACACTCAGCGGTGCCACCTGAGCTGCTACCCACATGTTGTGCTGACATAAGGATTTGTATAGTCACATACTGAGCCAGACCCGGGCAACAGGAGGGATGATTAGAATGGGTGAACACCAGCATAAACCTTGTGCCTATCTCAATGACTATAGCATTGCACAGGGAGTGAGCAGGAGGCTGGAACGATATTTATTCTTTCTCTTCTCCCACTAGACTCCCAAAGGCACTTGTTTGGAGTCAGTGAAGATTGCCATTGATACCGGTTATCGCCATATCGATGGTGCCTTTGTCTATTACAATGAGCACGAAGTGGGACAAGCCATCCGGGAGAAGATTGCTGAAGGAAAGATCAAGAGAGAAGACATCTTCTATTGTGGCAAGGTTAGAAGTTATGCTCATATTATTCACAACAAGTCTGGGATTTCTGTGAATGGACTTTCTTAAAAACGCCAGTGGTCAACATCCAGTGTATTTCTAGATCCAACATTCTTTGTATTTCTTTCCTCTTTTTACCATGAAGTGATAGCATTTTCAGCATTAGCTTTGCTGTAAAGCACAGTAATCTCTGTTGTCAGTTTAAAGGTGAGTTAGCAATGGGAACAATGCAGTACGTGTTCTGCCTGGTACTGTAGGTACCTGCAAGTTTAGACTATTGCTACACTCAGTGGTGCTACCTGGGCTGTTACTGTCACACGTGTTGTGCTGGCACAAGCATTTGTATAGTCACATACTGAGCCAGATCCGGACAATGATCTTGCAAATGAGTTACTGTCTGTTAGAGCAATTCTCCATAAAGATTTGCCCTGAGATTGCACAATGGAAGGGGTGGGAGCCAACACATGCATGCAAGTGTCTATGTACAGGAGAACAGCAAGTGCTTATGTTGGTACTGCTGCCAAAGAATTACTAATCAAGCTACACCCTAGTTACTGTATTGTCTGTCATTAAAGACTTCTATGATCATGAATCAACACACTGGGAGAGAAGAGGTCATCACACTTTGGGTTTACAGTAACAAGACTGGAGTAGTGCATGAGCAAGTTACTGTTTTAAAATCCCAGCTGTAAGAGCAAGTTCTCTGCTAGAAGAAAGAAATCCCCTGTCCAATAAAACATACGATAGAAGCTGCTACAAATACATTGACCGGATTATGGGCATAAGAGAAAGCATATTTCTAAAAAAAGATCAGATGACTCCCAGAAAGCCCATGGTTCCTGTCCAGTTTCTAATGGACTCTGTGGCCTCAAGTTCCCCTTCCGGCAATGCTTCTTTGAATATAACAGCCTAATATTTTCCCTTTCTCCCTTCCCAAATAAGACGTAATCCACAGGAGTTACTCAACAGCCTTGGAAATAAATATACAGTTCCTAGAGTGAAAGTTCTGATGGGACAAAAGGCCTGTTTTACTATGAGCAATTTAGTTAAGCTTTATGATCTGGGAAAATAAGCTTTAGATTGTGTAGTTTGCAGACCAAGAGGATTTTCAACAACTATAGAGCAACTTCCAAGTAAAGCAATTTTCAGTCTGTGAAATATGCAACTTTACTCCTAGTTCCCTGCTCAGCACTACTGGTTACAGTCACAATTTTGCCATCCTAAGAAAAGCTTCAAGTCCTCAGAATTTCCACTTTGATCAGGGTAGCCTCTCAGTTTCTCATATGCCAATACATTTATTTCAATCAGTTAAAATATTTTATTTCATCTGTTTTGTAGCGTCATTACTGCATATTACCAGTAATATTTCAAATTAAAAAAAAAAAAAAAAAAAAAATTGTACATGAAGATTAGAACTGAATAACTGCTTTCCCAACTGCTTCCCCCATTAGCATCTCCAAAAGAGCACCTCTTGGCAAAATTTTATTCTCCAAACTTTACTTATTAAGCCTTTCTATGTTCAGTTGTCTGATCTGATCACTAGATATATTTACCCACTACTTAAACATTGAGCTGTGAAATTTCACCTTCTGTTTCTTGATTATGAGTTCAGTTGTTCCGTAAACTGCAAGTGTCCTGCTAGTATCAAAGTTGCAACTTGCAGTACTGTGGTAGTCAATGCCTGTAGTTCCAGCCTTCCTTGGGACTGTGAGATAGGACACACGGATTTATCTTTCTGTTGTGCCCTGCTTGTGCTTGACAAAATGAGGGTTTACTTTTAGGTGGTCATCTTGATTAGAGCACTTCTGTAGCCTTTAAAGTGATCAAAGACAGAAGTGGAAAATATACTGCAAAAAATGAATCCATCAGTCCAGGATTTTCATAGGTTTCATTGGACATTTTAAAAGCCACTCTGAGCCTTTCAGAAAGAGCGGGACTGGATGGCCTTTGTCTAATGAGCTTACATATCTTCAGCTTTGTGTAGCTTATACATCTATGCACTGAACAAATTATAGGCAAATATCAAACCAGTAGATACATCAGACCTTCATAGATAACTGACCAACATTAACTGTTGCATCTTCTGGAAAATGTGGTAATAGAACATTCTTGAAAGTAGTAGGCACAACAAAAGTTGTGTTTGTTTTCAATCTCACTGAATCAGAAGTCCTGGAAATACATACAGAAGACTCTGAACATGCAACTCCTTCATACAGGCCTTCTCTTAAACAAAGATGATGCGAGTCAGAGGCTGGTCAATCAGCAGGGACTAACAAGAATGTCTCCACGGAGTGGCACTGTTACTGGAATAGTGAGTTGGTGCAACCATGCTGCAACTGCCAGTTGAAATCATCGGCACTTGCACTTGGCTCTCGCTGCTGGCTGGCTGGTCAGGCACAGCAGCTCAGCATCCAGAAATTTTAGAGGTTTTCTATCAATTGCCAGCAGCTCTCTTGGCTTATACAGCAAGACCTTTTTTGGTCTCCTCTTTCATCCCAGGATATTTCTTTCATTAAAATAAAAGTAACATTTCCAGGAAATATGGTGTCCTGAAATGCTGAAGCCAGCTGGCAGCTTTGACTTCTCAAACGTCTACATGGGTTCTACTTAGGTAGATAATACAATAACTTGTACAAATCATGAAAACAGTTGTGAAACTCTTAAGTTTCCATGGCATTTGTGTATTAAGGCAATACAAATGTTTGCTATTTCTAAAGACTGTTTCCTTAGAATTTCTGCATTTTTTAAAAGTGATGGATATTCACTGGCAAGAACTTAGCTCAACAGCACTGAGCTACTAAGGGCACTAGGAAAAACAGCTCCCAAGCTGTCAATATACCTTCAGTTACTAAATTTCTAAATCAAAGTAACAAAATAAACTAAACATGAAGGATATAAAGATTCACTTCCTTACACATGTGAAGTTCAAAAGAACATCTCATTTTACTGGTAAAATGAAAATCAAAGATTGGCAAATGCTTTAATAGCACCCAGACCAAAGGCTTTCAGGAAATCCAGCTTAACAGCTTAAAACTGAGAGCAGGACCTTGAGCCTTGTACTGTGCTACACCTCAACCCATGTAGTCAACACTTCACTGATCTTAAATTCTTCATTTTTTGCAACAGGATTAAGACCCAGTGTGAACTTTGAGGTGTTGGTGTCACTTTGGTGCTTCAGCTTAGGGCAGGAAGATATGCATGCTCTTAGGACGGCTAAGCTTCAAGATAACATTCTTGCCTTTGCCAGCACAACTAAGTAGTTTACACTCTAAGTAAATAATAATTAAAATACTTCAAAACTTACTCAGGCTATGTCTTAACACCTATAATCCTTATCTTTTGAAAACTTCAGTTCAAGTGTTTCATGTTTCAGAAATGGTTTCATTCTACAACTTGGCATGCTGCGACTTCTGCATTGGTAGCAAAATTGGCTAGACAATCACTATACCAACAAACATCATTTTTTTTCCAGCCAATGAAGGTGCCAAAAATCATAATATGACTCCAAATGTCAGTTTGGTGCGTTGAAAAACAAAAAAACCCCCAAACACCCAACCTTCCCCATCATTCCCCCAATAAAGATAGAATAGCCCAACTTATTCTATGCAACCAGATGGTACTTGTATACCATTGTATGTTAATTTCACTTTTTTGTAGATTTTAGCTTCAGAGAATGGTTCACAAAGAGTTCTTGGTTACTAATTACAGTGCTATGGTTCTATTCTCGCAAGAGATTTGCATCAGCAGAGTTCTGTTAGAGGTAGCATTGCAAGCTAATCAACTGAGCACACTCCATAGCAACATCAGGCCATAGCACTGGTTATGATTAAAGAGGTTGCAAAGGCTATCCTTTAACTGATCACACCTGTGTTACGGTAACTAAACAATAATACTTCTTTCAGTGAGGATAGAGGAGTAAGTTTAAACTTTGCTATGTCGGCAGTCACGCAGACTCCACGGCCACAGGAAAAAAACCAAAAGATCCTCTTTGTGCCAGGTGCTTGGCAATTCAATAGCAAGCTCACATGATCTGAGCTTCAGCCTTCAAGCATAAACCTGACCACAGATTTCTTGTGGGAACAAAGTTTTCCAGTGAAAGCATATGCTTGGAAAGCTCATAAAACAAAAGGAATCTGCCTAAGTTCATTGAGCAAGAGTTTGCAATAAACACAACTCTGAATAACCTGTCTTGTAACAAGCAGGTATTTGGTAGCTTTACTGGGTCAGCACACAGACAGTCCTGGGCAAGGATTCCTGTCTTAACTTCTACAAATTCCTGTGGAGTAAGATGGGATAAAGCCCCTTGCATTTTTCTTGCAGCAATGTAGACCATGGTATCTTTGTACTGTGTATAATGAGCTCTGTCAGAAGTACAAGAGTGTATGAGATGGAGGGAATTGGCTGGAGGATGCTCGCTGTCACTCATGACACCCTAAACAGAGTCTGTGCTTGTTTCCCCAGCTGTGGAACACCTGCCATCCACCAGAGCTGGTACGTCCCACATTGGAGAAAACCCTGAAGATCCTGCAGCTGGATTATGTCGACCTCTACATTATTGAGCTGCCAATGGCTTTCAAGGTAAAAAGAAAAATTGCCCTACAAAGTACGCGTTTGGCTTGAACCAAGGTTTCCGTCTAGCATCATCCTTGTAGCTTCCAGTCCACACTGAAAATAGCACTTATGCAAGATGATGTTCTTTATACAGTGCCTGCACATATTTCTCTGCATTACCCATACAGAGGGATTTACAGGTGTGTGAGATTCATTACTAACAGCTGTAGCATCAAGTCTCTCCACTGAAAGGACAGGACTCCTAACTTAAGTAGAAGACTAATTATGCTGAAGAACTACTTTAGGTGAAGTAACACAGGTGCTGTACAAAGCCATGAGGAGCCAGGAGCCTAGAGTGGGTAGGGAGAAGATGGGGCAAGAGCTGATGTCCCTTACTCTATCTCAAAAATAGAACAGCCTCAGGAGCACTAAAACCAATGATCAAATCATAGCTGTGATCTTAATCTCCTTAAATGTAGTGCTCCTCTCAGACAGCTTGAGTAGGTGACAGTTAACCCCAAATAAGGGTTGTCTATTTCTTGCTCTCAAATGTCTAAAAAGTTAAAGCGTTGTATTTCTTCATTCTGCTGGCTCTTGGCAACTTCTTCCTGCAGTCACAAAACCCTTGAAAGTGAGGAACTCACATCAGAGTTGTATGCCTCCACTGCAACCAGCTCTTGTAAGTCTCCTTGAACTTTCTGGTTTCACAGACAATTTGCTCTAAAATTTTCACATGCAAGTACATGATATGAAGGTAAATTAAGTAATACTAAAATTAGAAAATTGAGATTCAAAAAACTTTTAGAGATTTTTTTTAACCAAGTAAGTCCTTTTTCTTAAAGATACTAAGGCCAGGAAATTACCTACCTAATTGTTTCTGTGGGGGTGTTAAAGTGCTAAATTGGCCATACCTTTTTTTTGCAAGGAAATTAATTACTAAAATCATATTGTACCACAGATTCCAAACTGCCAGAAGCACGAGATAGGAAGCAATTTAGCAATGGAGCAATCACCTTGGACCTGTAAATCCTTTTTCCTGTTAAGACCTCCACATCAGTATTGGACTTGCATATCAAAACTTTATTTATCCAGTCCCACGTATGGAATCCTTTTGGGTGCATTTTTAAAAATTTCCCACCACTTGCAATTTCCTGCTTCCCCTTTCTTGTGTTTGTATTCTCTAGTAGTTCACTCTCCCACATAGTGAAGGTCATTGTCTCACAACATAAAGATATAGACAGCTGGCTTTAAAGTAACGTACATCTGACTCCATGAGGCTTGTATCAACAAGCTCTGCTATTAAAAGAGTAGTAGTCCCAGATTTACTCGTGCCCCTTTTGAAGGGAGATTAAAAAAGAAGTCACCTTCTGCTTAAAAAATGCACGTTTTCGTATGCCAGATGTTTCCTTTTTTTGCTACCTCCCTCACAAAATACACCCATCCCAAACACGACACTTGCCTTTGCTGAGGACTGCATAGGTATAACATGCTAATAGACTCCTTCTCTTTCCTGCTCTGCAAAAGCTGACACTTATCTGTCTCCTTAAATGCCTTCTAACAAAACTACTTTCTCCTTGGAATCAGTGAAGAACTTGAGCCAAAACTCATAGTCCCATTCTGAAATCAGCAAGGAAAATGCCTCGACAAAGCCAACTGGTGCAAGTTCTCACAGGGACTTTCAGGTAGAAAGGAATTTATTTGCTGAGAGTACCACTCATAGGAAGAAAGCCCCACTATGCCAGTACTTGTAAGTACACCAAGAATGGTATCTGGGAAAACATTAATCACTGAACTATTAACTTTAGCCTGAGTCTCCCTTTTCTTTTTGTTCTCCCCTTTATAGGGATTCTCCATTCAGGACTTCTGTCCTTCCTCCCCTTAGCCCAGCGGTGGTGCTCAGCCCCTCTTCCGTGGTAAGACAGATACCATAGAATCATTAAGACTGGAAAAGACCTCTAAGATCATCTAGTCCAACCCTCCACCTACCACTAATGTTTCCCTACGAAACCATGTCCCACACAGTTCTTGAATACCTTGAGGTATGGTGACTTCACCGCCTCCCTGGGCAGCCTGTTCCAATGCATCACCACTCCTTCTGAGAAATTTTTCCTAATCTCCAACCTGAACCTCCACTGGCACACTTAAAGCTGTTACCTCTCACTACCTAGGAGAGGAGGCTGACCCCCACCTCACCACAACTTCCTTTCAGGTCACTGTAGAGAGCAATGAAGTCTCCCTTGAGTCCTCTTCTCCGGACTTGAACAACCTCAGTTCCCTCAGCTGCTCCCCATAAGACTTGTGCTCCAGACCCCTCACAGCTTTGTTGCCCTTCTCTGGGGGCACTCCAGCACTCACAGGCTTTCTTCAGGTCATCACATGCTCTCTCCCTCAGTAGCTTGTATCCACTGGGAGGTTTTTCAGATGCTTCTAGTCAGATGGTAAGTAAGCAGGTACCCACACACTAAACAATCTCTAGATCCCTCCCAGCTACCAGAAAAAGAGATATTTTAGCCTTAAATTGAACAAGCTCACTTTAAGTATCTTTTTGTGATTTTAAAATAATAAAACAGATTAATAGCCTTGCTACTTGACATTTTATGGCCTTCTGTTTGCACAATATGCATTTACAATTTGTTAGATTGCCTTCTTGAGAAAGCGCATGTGTCAAAGTACATTTTGAGAAGGTGATGGGAGGTGCAGACCTGTCTCCCTGCATTTGTGTTGGTGAGGAAATTATTACCATGGGAGGAGGTTTTTCCTCTCAGTTGTTACCAACTGCTGTGCTTTAAATATGCAAATTGTCTGGTAGCTTTTGGGGTGTCCCTGAGTTTGAGAACTAAGGGAGCACTGCAGCACTGCATAGCAGCAGTGGCTGTGCAGGGTTGTCGCAACTGTTTCAATGCTCACATAAGAACATGGTAGAAAACCACCTTGTATTCAGTCTAAGCTATGTGACTGTCTCCAAGACAACTGCAAGAGAAGATGAACATTTGTGCCAATGACTGGTGTTTATAGTCCATAAGAATTCAAGGTGAGAAATGTGCTAAACTGCTGAGAGACTTCAAAGACTTAGCAACCACCATCATGTTACCTGCAAAACACTGTCAGCATGTTATTCCTTCCTATCCATTTACTGTCAGTTCTGTCATTCAGGGATTTGCTTGCTTAAAAAAAACATAGCTTGACAGAAGAAGTACTGCCTGGAGACTACTGAGCAGAAACCTTGTGTAAATCCCTGGAAGCAGAAGCAAGAATTTATCCTTGTGAAAATTCAGAGTAGCTGGCACCAAACTCAATCTTCAAGCTACCTTTATCCCAGCTTTGTTGGCTTTTTAGAACACAAGGAATAGAAATAGAGAAAAATGCTGCATGTCTGAACTAGTGTAATTGCTCACTCCTATATGTAATGTAACATTGACTACTATAAAAGAAGAAACATTGAACAGAATTTAATGGATTGAAACAGAGCTATCCCCAGAACTCCATGAAATCCATACGCTGTGCCTGTGTGCCCTGAGCTCATAGTCTCTGAATAGCTTGTTAGAATATCATGGGGATAAATGGTTTGTTCCAAAATACATCAGTGTGGTTTTGTAAATAAATTCTCTCCGTTTCAAATTACAATGACAATTAGTTCTCTTTCTGGTAGAAAAATATTTTCAATAACCACCTGCTTCTTTCTAGGCTAGTTGTTTTTCCAGCAAGCCACAGCAACAAAGGCAATAGGTCTTCTTCAGAGAATTCATTGAGGAAAGCCAGCACATCTGAAGAAGACATGCTCGTGATTGTAATTTGGTGCCTGTAATCTAAGTCTGTGTTTTCCCTAGGCTCACTTGTCCTATGAAATGCCTTGAATTTGAACTCAAGAATCCTTTTCATAAGGAATTATCATTCCGACAGCTTGCATTCAGTCTTTAGAAATGTAGCACTTTGCAGTCAGACCAAATGTTAAACATCACTGAAGGGCTTTCACAAAAAAAAAAAAAAAAAAAAGTGGAATTACATTCAGACAAAAGGGAGGGTGATGTTAATGCATTGCCTGCAATATTAATTGCAGGAAGTAAAAGAAAGCTCATATCGTGAGGTATCAGTTCATAACTCATCCCTGAAGTCTTGCTTGTGGAGCACAGAGACAGGAAGAGTTACAAGGAGTGCCCTAGGAAATGCAGTTAATGCACTTAAAAATGTGCAGCATGTACAATAACTATGCACTTAGATTGTTATAATAGTAAATAAAATAGTAAAGTAGTAAATTTTGGAAATGATCACTCCAGCTGGAGCTGGACTGAGATGGTGCTCTTCTCAGGCACCCAGGACAAAAAAACAGGATCAGAGGAAGGCTGAGAAGAAAGGAGGGACAGAAAGAAAAGGGAAGGAATACAGACTGGCACTCTAACTTAGCTCTTTGGAAGCATATTCATTCTTTGTTTGCCTTACTGTAAGGGTCAAAAGTTTATTGAAAAATAAGGCCATCCTGGAGTTCCTAAGCATGCATTCATGTGACAGTCCAGAAGTGTATCCAAGGACTGTCTCGCAGTGGAGGATGTGGTAAGCCCAGCATGAATGACCTGTTGAACTTCGGGTGTTTCAGAAAGCTTTCGAGTGTACTTATTTTCGTATGTTTGCTGGTAGAAAGACTGGAAAAAAAAAATCTTTGCTCTGAGGAGTGAAAGTTTTTGTTTTTTCCTCCCCCCTCCCCCCCCCTTTTTTTTTTTTTTTAAATAAAAAAAAGAAACCTATTTTTACTTTTCAGCCTGGAGATGCAATCTACCCAAGAGATGAAAATGGAAAATTTATCTACCATGAGACAAATTTATGTGCCACGTGGGAGGTAAGCAAACACAATATCTATATATGCTTAAAAAAAACAGCAAAAAAAAAAAAAAAAAAATAATACACAACAGATCCTCATTCTCAGCTTTACTTGCGGTCTTCATAAGCAGAGCTGAGACATACTGACAGAACAAATGGATCAAGTTCTACTAGCTTCATGGATAAATTTGACTCCTGTTTCTAGAAACAGTGCTTCTTTTCATCATTTAATTATTTTTATAACAAAACAAAATATTATTACGGCATTTGATGTCTGTGCTTCTTTCAGAGAGCACACATTTACAAGTTGATATACCTGTAGTGTTTTCTCCCCCGCACTCCCCCCCATTGCCTCTCCTTTTTAATCAGACCTTTACAGCAGCAGAAAGTTGAAGCCCTGAAGGAGTAAGCAACTGGATCTTCCTCAAAAAAGGAAATGTTTTTCCATTAACGTAAACCAAATTTTTCCCTAAAGCTCCTCATTTAGAAGTTATAATAATGTAATAATAATTATATTAATTTAAAAAGTTGCCATCAAAATAAGTTCTCTCCCTTGTAAATTTAGTTGTAGGATGAGAACATAAGAATATTCTGCTAAAGAAGCCTGCAGGAAAACAGCATTTCCTCAGAAGACTGCATTCTAAAATTGTTTGTGAGGTGTGTTAGTTAAGATGTCCTACTGCCATTTGGTCTCAGGTGAGGCAGAAGGTGAGATTGGCGATTTCCTCACGTTCCTGCCTTTTGAAGCCTTAAATAGCCTTTAATTCAGAGCCAACGATGCTCAACGTTCCTTCCACATTATGTGAGCTGCAAAAGCATTACTAATTCAGCACAGTTCACACCAAGATAGTCAACATGGGCTATTCCACATTCTACTTCAGCTTGCACCGCCCAGAACTGGATAGTCACATCCCAGTTCAGCTCTACTTGAGGTCTGGTAGATGAAGATACATAGAGAATGTCTGAAATCTTGAGCAAAAGTTCAGAGTAGAAGAGAGCCCAGGACCTTTTTTGGCAGTGAAGATATCCAGGCAGAATCTCATGGAGCTGAGGACTCCCATATTAGCTGTTTATTTCCCCATCTGGGGCTGATGTAATTTCTCTTTTTCACAACTAATTGCTCAAGGCAGCAGCTGTCTGAACACCTTAAGCTGTTGCTTTATTGTAAAGGATATATTGTAGAAGGTCTCTCTTTTAAGCTAGAAGGCTGAGGTAAGAATAGGTAGCGGCAGCTGCTTGCAAATAAGAGCATCAATCTAAATAAACCTGGCTAAACTCAATCCAGATAATTTCAGTCTTTCAGCGTGGTGCCAGCAAGAAAAATGTCTCCAGATGACTGCTGACTTGTCACTGAGTGATACAAAGCATATAGGGCCAACTAGAGGTTGTCAAATACCTGGTGCCTCTTACCTCCCTGCTTTCAACTCCTGTGAGACAGAAAAGAATAACGAAACTTGCAGGAGGGGCAACCAGTTGTGCTGCCTTGAACAGCCCCTAAATCATCTGTAAGCAGTTTCTGGGAGCAAACAGGAAGACTGTAGGAAGATTGTAGGGAAGGAGCCTCTTTCCTCCTAACAACTTAGCAGATAAAGTTGAATGAAGAAGCATGTGTTCATATATACAGCATTCATAAAGCTTTTTCAACTATTAGGATTCGAGACATACAAAATGTAGAACTCCCTTCTCCCACCTTTTCCTCCTACTTTGTATTCCCAAATTAACCTGTCTGCTTTCCAAAACAAATTCTACTTTCATGGCAAAACATTAGGGTTTGGTCTGGAAAGCAGGTCTACATGAGACAAAAGTTTAGAACAGTGGGATAGCACCAGCCTTCATGGTAACAGAGCTGCTAGCTCTGCTGCTGCAAGTTTTCTGCACTTTCAAGAATGGACTGGCTTCTACCCCTCCAAAACACACGCTTCAAGGAATCAAGCCAGCTTTTGAGACTCCACTAATCTTTGCTGTCTTTGCAGGCTATGGAAGCATGTAAAGACGCAGGCTTGGCAAAGTCTATTGGAGTATCCAATTTCAACCGCAGGCAGCTGGAGATGATCCTGAACAAGCCAGGACTTAAGCACAAGCCTGTCAGCAACCAGGTATGACCTGAAGCCAAGGGCAGCGCCTGCTGTGGTACCAGTGCCCAGTAGGGAAGACAGAGGCAACACAATGTCTATGCAGCAGGGTGATGCTTTGCCACAGCTGTTGCCCTCTATATAGTCACACTTTCTGGCTTGAAAATTTTACTCATCCTGTGTAAGCTCAAGATAAAACTTGAAGGTACTAGAACAACCACTCTTCTCAGTTCCTGTTTCGGGATTATAAAATTCACACTTCTATGTCAAGCTCCACAGCCAGGTTAAATCTCTACCATGTACTTTACTTTGCATCCAAAAAGTTCCTAAGACAAACCATTTGGGGTTAACTAGTCCTCAGTGAAGCCACACTTGCTTCAGCTGACACTAAGCCTAAACAACCCTAAATATCAGAAACCCTGGGTCACTCTAATCTTCCCGTGTAACAGCCATTAGATGTAATTTCTTTCTCTCTTCTGCCTTTCCAGTAAGAGTTGGGGAAAAACATGAATTAAAATGGAAAAAAAATAAATAAAGCAACCAATTGGAGCTGAACGAGCCTATGAAGATGATAGGTGATATCCAAGTTAATCACAGTAGTAGGGCTCAGAGCTTGAGGGAGGTGGCAGTGACCCATCCAAATGCTCAATACCTTTGACAGGCATTTGGCAGCTCACTGTATTTTCTAGAAGTCACTGGGAAGCTTTTCAGACTCATCTGGCACAGATGAGCATCCACATTAGCAATATCAGAGAAGAGGTCAGAGACCAACTGGGACCAACTTCCTATCCCCAGCGCATAGCCAGGAGGGCTGGAATTGGCATAGGGCAGGGCAGCCTGAAAGAGGAGGAAATTCTAGCACTCTTCATTGGTACTAACATTGCCAGTAGCTGCAAAATTCAGTTGCTGTTCACTGAGTGCCCCTAGGACTGCACTGCTGCTTCATGGGGTCAAGAAAAACTGGGCAAAAATATTAAATACAGATTAAGTCAGGCAGCCAGAAAGCATAGATGTGCCAGCCAGCTCCAGATTGCTTTCAAACAGATGTTTTTCTGTCACCTTGTAGATATTCCTTTCCCAGAGACAGAGAGTACTTCCAGAAAATCCCTTCCTGTAAGGGAATTAGGGACAGTATTTGCAATATGAGAGGGCAGAGCTCATAATGACATCATAGCCATTGTGGAAATACCTCACCTTTTGCATATACCTACTCAACTTTCTATACAGGACAGCTTCTGCCAACACTTACCCTAAAAATGACATCAGATTGGTCATCCTGATAAAACAGAGAACCAATGATCTGACCCATATCAGGTGGGTTGCCTTCTCAGCTTAGTCAGACTCCCTCAGCTCCACCTCCCCACTTATTGCCACAAATGTCCTACACAAAATTATAATCATAGATGTTGATCTGCTGCCCACCAAAAATTAATAAATAAATAAAATTCATCACCCAGCAGTATATCATTAGTACTGTAATCAAATTCCCATATTCATTAACTTACATATATCCTTTCCTGAAAGCCAAGAAGTCATCTTTAACCTGTAACACTTACAAATACTGTGACACCATCTACTTCCATATCTGGTCTTACTGATTAAGCATTCTTTTTATGTTACTTTTGTAGGTTGAATGCCATCCCTATTTCACCCAACCCAAACTCTTAGAATTTTGCAGGCAACATGACATTGTTATTGTTGGATACAGTCCATTGGGAACCTCGAGGGATGAAACATGGTAAGTGCCCATGTTATTCCCAAGTAGCAGGGCCATCATCCTGGAAAGAAATAATAAATCTCCACTGATGGATCTGCGTGAAATGCCTTTTCAGAGTAGTTTTGAACTCAAGTGTCTAAATATTACAGTTGTGAATGTATACTTATAACATTCCCGATGCATGCTGTCATCAAAAGTGCCAGGTGCCTGTATGGGAGGTCTCCATATGACTCCTCTGCCAGAAAGAGGCTGTGGAAGTCTCCACTGAGAAAGTAGAAAATAAGCTTATGTTGGGATATGACATAGGAAGTTTCCTTTGACAACCAAAGCTTCTCCTCCATCCTTCACAGAATTGTCCAAAGGTGCAATATTCTGCCCATGAATGAGTAGATGCCTGTGTGTTTTAATACTAAAAACAGCAAGACTACATTTTTCCTCAATTCTCTTCCAGGGTAAATGTGTCCTCCCCTCCCTTACTGGAGGATCCCGTGCTGAATGCCATTGGCAAAAAGTACAGTAAGACAGCAGCGCAGGTTGCATTGCGTTTCAGCATCCAGCGAGGGGTGGTGGTCATCCCAAAAAGCTTCAACCCCCAACGCATCAGAGAGAATTTTCAGGTAAATTCACACTCCAATGGTACAGAAAAGAATCCATTTGCTCTAACTTAGCCCCTATGAAAGGCCGTTTTCCCATCTACTTCCATAGATGGAAAACTTGACCAGTGTCAGTTTAATTCTTTTTGACACCATCACTTAATAGCACTATAGTATGATAATAACAGAGCAGAACAGTGAAAGAATTCTGGTACCCACTACTGCACTGAGCAGCACAAGCGAAACAAAGTCACTTGGTAGATCTGTAGCCCAAGAATTGCTGGTTGGAGGTATACAGAGATCACTGGCCTGTTCTGACTTATCCTCAGTTATGGAGTAGCATTACTGAGGAAGGGATGGTGCTGTATACGGGCATGCCAAAAAGGCTTATAACTATACTACTTGAAAACAACTGGCCTGACCCCTCCATCCACTCCAAATAAGTGGGAGTATTTTTTCCTGTGTCCCTTGTACATCTGAAATCTGGAGCACATGAAATGTTACCTGTGACAAGAAATTGTAACTTATTCTCAACATTTCCTTCCAATAGATCTTTGACTTCTCTCTCACTGAGAAAGAGATGAAAGAAATTGAAGCCCTGAACAAAAATGTTCGTTATGTGGAACTTTTAATGTAAGTCCAGGATAAGTCCAAAATTCTCACCAAACATTCTTGGTTTTTTTTGAGGAAGTGTTTTCTTTTTAAATCTTCTATTAATATTAATTTTTGTATAATCAACCTTGTATTATGATAAAACTCGGAAGTAGGAGCTCTTTAATGCAGTCTGAATACGTCTCAGATCATTCACAAAAATAAGCTTGCAACACTTGCTGAAAGCTCAAATTTCGAATGCCCACCTAAAAGATGATGCCTGCTTCTAGCTATTCCATCTCTACAACTCCTTGATCACTATATGTTGTGATGGCTATCTCAGTCAGTCACAAGCTGTAGTATTGACCTTCTTTAACCACCCGTGTGAATACCAGCTCTGATATTCAAACAGGAATACTTTCTTGCCCTTCCCCTCCTTCCCAACTTCTCTCATTGCTCAGCAAGCATTCAAGTATTTAAGTATTATTGCTTATGAATTGTAGCCCTACTGTTTCCAGAGACAATTTATCCTAAAATGATATACAGAAGAATAACTTAAGAGCAATACTATAAAAAGTAAAAATATGCAGTATAGAGCTAGTTTAAGAAGAGCTCTACTCCTTCTCCCTTAGTAGCTTCCCAGGATACCATTAGCCTTCTTGGCCATAAGACCACACCACTGGCTCATGGTCAACCTGCTGTCTAGTAGGATACCCAGGTCATTCTCCACAGAGACCCTTTCAAGCAGATCAGCCCCCACCTGTACTGATGCAAATGGTTATTACCCCCCAGGTGTAGGACTCTAAAATTGCGCTTTTGGAACTTCACAAGGATCCTCTGCCCAACTCTCTAACTTGTCCACGTCTTGCTGAATGGCACACAGCCTTCTGGTTTGTCAGCTATTCCTCCCAGTTTCACATCATCAGCAAACCTGCAGAGTTCACATTCTATCCCTTTATCCTGATCATTGATGAAGATGTTAAACAAGATGGGACCCAGTCCCACCAAGCTCTGCCAGTCAGCCAATTCTCAGTCCATCTCACTGTTCACTCATCTATCCCATACTTCCTAACCTTACCTAGAAGGACGTTATGGGAGACAGAGTCAAAAGCTTTGCTAAAGTCAAGGTATACAACATCCACTGTTCTCCCCTCATCTACCCAGCTGGTCACAGTGTCACAGAAGGCTACCAGAACAGTCAAGCATGATTTCCCCTTGGCAAATCCACATTAACTACTACTCTTAATCTTTTCTTCTTCCACTTGCTTGGAGATGACATCCAGAATACGTTGTTCTATCATCTTCCCAAGGACAGAAGTGAGGCTGAATCTCCTGTAGTTTCCCAGCTCCCCCTTCTTGCCTGTTATTTGCCATATCTTGACTTTCCTCCAGTCTTCAGGCACCTCTCCTTTTCTCCTGTTGAGTTCTATCCTCTTGTACGAAAAGGAGAAAGCCACAAAGCTTGTTTGACTGCTAGACCACTTTCTAATTCATTTCTTGCTGCTTATGATCTAAATCTTAAAATCCAAAAGTAGTTTATCTCCACCTGAAGGTTGCACTGCCCTAGAAGGCTCAGGCTGACCCAGATCTCTTTTGGAGAAAAAGGCCATTAGTTTTACCTTGAGCTTAAGAGTATTCACAATCTGTGACCAAACTATGCTTTCCCTTTTTCAGGGCACTCAGTGTGCAGCCAAACACTAAAAGGATTCACGTTGATATATTTCTCTTGTTAGCCTGAGTTATCTACATCTTGCCACTGTGCTCAAACACTAATAATAACAAAAAGCAGGACAGCAGCATCAATAGCCCTCTAAAATGTTGACTGTTGCTCAAAAGATAGGGAAAATGTTGCAAAGGAACAAATAAACCACTTACTGTGATAAACACGACAGAAAATATTAACTAAGTTAAAAGCATCATAATAGAGTTCATCTTTCACATCTAAGCTCTGCATTGTGCTCTGAAGATTTAGTTTCTTGCAACTTAGCCTCCAATTAATTAGCAGCACTTAGTTCCAAAAAGCTTCTCATAAATGGCCTAGCAAATATTTATGAAAGTTTTGGTATTGGAAATCATTTGATTTTACAAGGCCAGGTTAAGTTAGAACATCATTTAACTTTTGTTAGTGAGAATATACATTAAAAGTAACCCTAGTGCAGAAAGAGCCTTTTCCAGAAGCAAAATTAGAGGAGGTAAATGCCCATGGGAAGAGAACTTACAAGGTCACTAATCTAAAGCTAACAAATGAGATGTTTTGCTTTATTAGACTAAATTTTGTCACAGGAGGCTACTGAGGACAAGGAAAGCAGCATGTATGGGATAGACACTGGCAACTCTGTTTCACAGAAGTGCCATGTTTGGGGAAAGTGCTACAGTACAGTCTGGCCTCGATCTTAAACTTAAACTTAAATAATTTTTTGGAAAAGTAACTTTGCTATGTAAGGAGCAATTAAACCTATATCTACCCAGTAGTATGTTCTTGAACTAAAGCATCTGGAATTGATGCTGCAACAGATGTCTTACAAGCCTAGACAGATGCCTTATTTCATTCAGAAATAGGTATTTGAGGAGGTCAAACCACCATATAGAAAAAATTCTGGTTAGCTAGCTTTGTGGAAAGCCTTCCACTGTTGCAACTCAAACACCAGCAAATGGAAAAATACAACTTTCCTGTGACTCTTCCAGTTATCAGCTACCATGTGCAAATCTTTTGTTCTGATAGTGTGAGTAAGCCCATTGGAACAGGATATTACACTAATTGGAATGAGTTAGCAAGTTAGACATCTGAGCAGGGAAAAAAAAAAAAGAAAAAAAGAGAGAGAGAGAGAGAGAGAGAGAGAGATAGGTGTAGTCCAGAAAGTCTTAGTCTGAAATGGTTTCTTCATCCCTTGAGAAATCTAAAAGTATTATTTTGGCAAGATTTTTGTTAATCTATCTGCTGAATCTATTTTGTCCATAGCAGAGACTGGGAGGACATTCTTCCTGACCAGTTATTCCAAGCTACCTTATCTCCTTTGAGTGAATCATTTTGGTACACAAGAGGACTCTGATCTTTGAACATATGTGATCTGAGTAGAAAGCATGCTCCATAGATGGAAACTAGATATTATGACAGTGGTGGCTGAGAGATTGTCAAATTATGCTGAAACCAAAACATGACAAAGTGTTTTTTTTTTTTTTTTTTTTTTTTTTGTTTTGTTTTTTTTTTTTTTGAGCCATCTCAATCTGTTAATGTGTAAACAATTCATCTTGGCTGAATATCAGAATGAAATGTTTTGACGCAACCAATTCAAAATGCTTGATGTCTTCCAGTCAGTTAATTCAATATTGTGAAATGTATCCTTCTCAAATTGGAACGATTCACGTATGGGATAAATGCCAGTATTTGTTGTGCTCTGTTGTAAGGCAAGGCAACCAGCTGCCACAGTGCACCTGACAGAGGTCTTCAGAAATTCTAGGTTTTGCTAGTGGAAAATGTTTGTCAAGCCAGGACTTGTGGTTTAGCACCATCTTCTAAAATAAATAAAAATAGAAAACATTAAAACCCACACTTCCTCACTCAACTACCTCTCTCTTACATTGGCCATTAGCAGACAACCAGTGTTATTTTTCACCTGCACTTTACCCTCAGAACTTACCTCTTGCCTTTTATAATGTTCCTGGACCATGCATCTTCCTTGAGAATGCAGCATTTAAGATGGAGCCTGAAGTGCCTCTATCTTTGCTGCATGCAACCATGAATTTCCCTTTCTTTCCTGAAAGGAGTCATCCCAAAACTTCTTCATACACTCTGCTACTGGTGCTATTAATCTGGCAGTGCATCTGCACCTCAGCTGAGCTAGTGGGTTTTGAGGAACAGGGACAGCCAGACTTAGTCTGGATATGGGAGCTACTTGAAGAAACAACCAACTAGACCTAGATCTGAAATGTGATCTATAGACCTGAAAAAACAGTCCTTCACTATCCTCTCCTTAAGTGCACAGGTGTACTGTCAGCTTTGCAGGGAAGATTATTCAGGGCAGACAGCATCAGAATCACAGAATGGTCTTCCACTAAGGCTTCCTCTCTCCAGGAGAGATAAGAGCTTTGCTCGGCACAGCATGAGTACATCACTGATGTGATATCCCAGGAGACTCACTTGTTCAATCTGACCTCTCCACAGGTGGCGTGACCATCCAGAATATCCCTTCAATGATGAATACTGAAAACAAAGCGTCCAGGCAGGTTCCTAATCCAACATGAGATTTGGCTGAAAGAGACCCAATGTTTGGTGCTTCCTTTTTCTGGGAGACTGTTCAAATCAGCATTAAAACTATGAAATCTACCTCTTGTTGTCTAATCCGTTGCTTTTTTATGCTGAAGAGCAGATCTGTGTAAATTGATGAATGTAGGTTTTTGACCTAAGAGGCTTTAACACCACGAACACTGAATTTGCAATGCTGACAACAAGTAAAACTGAGCATCTCTCAAGAACAAACTTATTCATTCAAACCAAAGTCTTCATTCAAGGGTACATTCTCCATTAGATGTGAAACAAGAGTTTCTACTTCAGTAGATGTAAAGCACCATCGTATTTTTTTCACAGCTCAGGTGAAAGAATCAGGGAGCTAATTGGATTTCAAGTCTGTGTACATGTGAATATAAGTATCCATTCATGCAAGGAATGAAGCATATTTTACCCTGACCAGAGTATTTCCTGACACTCCATTCAACTAGTTCAGGCCCAAACACATAAGCACATTCATTTCCCTTCTACCTCAGCTGAAGAGCATCACTGAATGACAGACCAAACTGTGTTTTTACATTTGAGCTGCTATGCAAGGATGGTATTGCATAGCATGCTGCTTATGCATCTTACAGCCATCCTGAACCTAGCACTATCATAAATACTTTGCAAGAGCCTTATCTCCTTAAGATAAAAATCCCTGAATCTTCTTTCTTGTTCCATAAACTGTTAATCACAAAATAAAATTTCTACTTTGGAATTCTTGCAGTCCTTTAGCTTTTAAGCAAGAATATTCTGAATTGGTAAACTAAGTTCCAAATGAGGAGAATGTTGTCTTTGTTAAATACCACATTTGACCATGCTTTGAGATCACAGAGAACAAGCTGGTCCAGGAAAGAGGTAGATGTAAGACAGAAGGAAGTAGTCTGAAGCCTAGACATTTCCTTCTATCTTGTCCCTGATTGTAACACATGGACAAAAGCATGGACACCAGTATGATGACAACTAACTCCTACAATATGGAATTCTTTCAGAACAGCTGTTTGCTACACTAGTTCCCAGAAAGAACAGACAGCTCTTCCAAATGGATCTCGTGCCAGGACAGCCCAACAACTTCAGTGGGTGCCCCTAGAGAAGACCCCTCATAGGGTGATAGCCTTTACAAATCATTTATAGATCCATTTATAAAGCTGTGACAGCAAAGGCATATTCTGTATGCTTGAAGTTACCCAAGGGCAATTCCCATTTTATTCCATTACATACTTATACCATAGAGAGTGAGAGGATAGAGCTAAGGAGGAGAAGGAACAGACACATTCAGTCTTCTGGTGTTACACCATACCCAAGGTCAGGTGGAGCTCTGCGGGATGAACCACCATCACAGTGCAGCTTTGCCACTCACAGGAAGTGAGGGTCTGGTCAAAATCCAAGCAAAAAAATGTACAGTACCAAAGGGGAACAGGTAAGCATCACACGTAACATTATTCCAGTTGCTTCATTATTAACAGTTATTTCATAAGAACAAGCCTTAAATAGAGCTATCAAGGCTCAGCTACCGAACAGTAGCACTGTACAAATTTTTGCACTGTAACTTGACCAGATGCAGGTCTCTGGACACAGCCAACATTCAGGCCAGCCTTGGCACAGGTCTTGTTTTGTACACTGCAAATGTCAGCCAATGCCCAGCTTAAATGATCATACTGGCTTTTTATCAGCTATCTGCCCTTCCAGACATCCTCTCCCAAAAGTTAGGCATGGCTCTGGGTTCTAACAGAGCTCCTTCATGTGACCTTGTAAATGTGAGTAAAGACAGTGATACACTGAAGTCTTTCTAACAGGAAACACCCTACAATCAGGTCATCAATCTGTACTGAGTGAACAGGCAGGATGGAGTGTGAGAGCTTGTCTGGCCCAAGCAGTGCCAGTAAATCCTTTTCCCCTCTGCCTCCCCTGCCTCTATTTTAATAGGGCTCTCCTCCACATTGCCTAGTTTGAATCCAATGACAAATATTCAGCTTCTTCCCAGGGGCACACACTCCCATATTCATTCCCACTGGTTATGAAACTGCTTCTGACGTCTAGCCTAGTTTTTCCCTTCACTTTGCTCAGTTTCAGACCATTGCTCCCCATTGTTCTCCATCATACTCTACAAATAAAAGGCTCAAAGGAGGGAAAAATAAACAAGCCTGCAGATGGGGGCTTGGGAAACACATTCCACCAGCCAGTGCACAAAAAGAGAGAGGGGAAAAAAAAAAAAAAAAGAAAAAAAGACAAGCCCAGGCTCCAGCCCCACATCCAATCTGCTCCCATCTGGCAAGTTGAGGCACACTGAACACACTGTGTGGTGTAAATCACATTACTCAGCAGCGCTCACTGCTCAGCTCCAACCAGAAAGCCAAGGGGGCCTCAAGCCTCTGCTGCTCTAATAGAAATTGCACATGGCAAGAGTAGATCAAAACTTATACTGGGAAAACTCACTTGCTGTTACCATAAGTAACCTGAATAGTTAGTGACTCTTTCTGTAGCTGCGAAGTGAAATGAAATTCAGGTCAAGGAAGACTAAAACAGGATATATTACATAAAGCTAGAGGAAAACATGAAGGTGGAAAAGAAAGTGACAGGTTGGAATAAGATTCAAAAAGCTCATTTCACTTGTGACCTAAACAGAAAACATATTTGCCTTTTAGAGTGGAGTAATCAGCACGCAGTTAGGCACTAGCGCAAGTTTTCTATTAATTGTTTCTCAGCAGTGCCATATTTTAGTCCTTCCCAACTTCCTACTCCCCTAGAGCAAAAACCCCAGCTTATAAAGGGCTTTGAGAGTCCAAAAACCAAAAGAGTTTGTTTTAATTTTTTAGTGTCAGACAGACTCCTCAGGGAACCTTAACTCAACATGCATGAGCAATACTCACAACAACACAACACATTGCAAATAAAATGCAAAGCAGAACCAAATGGGGAAAGAAAAAAAAAAAAAAAAAAAAAAAAAGCAAAGAAAGAGGTGGAAATAAAAACACACGTGTGTACACACACGCAGCAAAGAAGGCACCACTCAACACTGCTCCATTTTTGCTCTGTAAACTGCAAAACTACCTGGATGGAGGCCTCAGATCTGTCCAAATTCATTGAATATAGCAACGGCAAAGTGCTGCTTCAGGACAAATCTGCACACAACCACAAGTGGCACAAGAGCTCACAATGATCTAGAACAAGTTTTGTAGTAGCCTTGTACATAACAAGAAGGCAGCTTTGCTAGTTCAGGGTGCTTAAGACACTGGATAGGATCCTGCAAAAAATCTAAGCACATGAAAGTCAGGAGTCACTCTGCTGACTCAAGGCTCACATCAATACAGGGAAACAAAACAGAGGCCCCAGGCTCTTGATGCAAGAAAATCCCTCCTTTTACATTTTCCCAGTTAAATCCAACCAGCATAGTCCTCCCAAGACAGGGCAGACCCTGGGGAAAGCTTGTCTCCAAGCTTGTCTGCTTTGTTCTTCATTGATCTGTACTTAAGAAACTTTGAAAATGGATCTCCAACATTTGGAAAGGTTCTTTTAAGTCATAGATCAGAAATTCATACCCCTAGTCAACAAGCCAGTGCTGCCCTCTGGTCCCCTGGGAGGTACAGTCATCTCAAGATGAGTGGAAGAAACAATGTAGAAGGAAAGCAAATAGTCTAGTTTGTCACATACGAGAAATATCCATGCCATTCAGGATTTCTGCTTTACTATTTTTCTATTTTTTTTTCCTAGGCCTAGCATTTAAAAAACAAAGCAACAATAAATCCTCCCCAGTATACTAGAGCTCTCCACTTCAGAGACCATCAAGTTGCTAGGCTCATGCCCATGCTCAAGAATAGGTCTACTTGGCATGCAAGACTTGGAGGCAATTAAAAGTGTTGTCAGAGGATGGCTGAAAGGCAGGGAGTGAGGGGAATGTCATAACTCCATTCACTCAGCAGTTAGAGCACAGAACTGATGGGGCAAGTAAGGTTCGTTATGACGGTTTAAAACTACACATCTAACCTCATTCAACTACCAAGCTGTATAAACTTTTGGATGGGATCTTTCTCCATCCACCACATCAAGCTTTTCAACACTGCATAAGAAATTCATCAAGGCAAAAACAGGAAGGACTCAGTAACTGATCAATATAATGTGTTCACTTGAGAAGAAGGAGATATGTAGTGCAGTCCTCTCTCTACTCTCTCATTACTGACTGAGAAACACTCCTACAGAAAAAGAATCAAGATTTCCTCCCATCCTCCTCCCCTCCCCTTTGTGCTATAGCTCATTCCTATGCTATGCAAGTTGTTCTCTTTGCTGTTTCTTTTGGACACGACACCATTTATATTATCAAAGAGAATTCTATGTACTGGAAAAGATGATGTGCATACCCCGTCCATCACTATATGTGTAAACGTGAATCTCAGTTCTCTGCATGCCTATAAGTTATTACCATAATGAAAACAAATTCTATAGCTTGGAGTAGCCAAACACTTCTTCCCAACAGGCTGCAGAGATATTACAGATCTGTCTGAATTAAGGCATTGATTTTCACCCACCAAATAAATATCTTCCACCCAAATGCTCCAGCACTCTTGTTAGCCGTTGACCTTGCGTAATTAACCTTGCCCCCTTCAAACCTCATTCCTTTGACCTTCTTTCCAGCCAAACACATCCATCCTGACTCTCTGCTCTTTCCCAAGTTTATTTTGCAATAGTTATACTTTGCCCAAATAACAAGTTTGGTTAAACTTACATGCCAAGCAAGACTCCCCCTTCACATGCAATCGCTCCCTCTCTCTCAGCCACTTGTTCCCATTCTTCTGGTTTCTTCCCACCCTGTGAAGAAAAAGGCCTTAGTACAGACCACTTCCAGGAAAAGGTCTCTCCTCCAAGCTATTTCCCAGCTCCATTAAAACTCAGCACTTAAAAAGAACACTGCATGTGAAGTATTTATTCCTTGTAGCTTTTGCCTTGGAAACACTGATAGGCTGTTCTAGACAATGTAAATTTCAAACAAAAACTTTTTACTTATTTAAGAGAGAGGAAGTATAAGCAATAATGTTGGATATCTCTCAGTCATTTTAACCCTG